ACCAGCCCCACCGCACCCCTCCGCCATGCCCTGGCCTGGCGGGATGAGGAAGAGGAGCTCCAGCAGCGACGCCAGGGTGCCGTCGCCTCCCCTGAAAATCGAGTCAAGCCAGGAATCGGCACCGCAACGCCCCGAGACGCGCCTCCCCACCACGGAGAGCTGTGCCACCAGCCTTGGGACCCAACGTCAGCGCCCAGATCCAGGAGAGAGGAACCAGGCCAAGCAATCCCCAACCCAAATCCAACGGGATGTTCTTCTCACTTGACATGGAAGTGGAAAAAAGAAAAAAAAAAAAAGGGATAACGCAACCCTGCAGCCCCTTGGCTTCTGCTTCCCTCCTCGTTTCAGAGCTGGGGGCGAGGGTAGGTGAGGGGACACCACCTCCCACAGCGGCAGGGGGAACGGAGGGTGAGGATGGGAGTCGACGGGTGTCACATCTCCACGCCTCCCCGCACGCTGGTGGCCCGTCACCCTGATTCGCAGCATCCCCGCGGTGGTCTGTCTCACAGCCCCACGGCCCTCCGGGCTACCCCGCCATCAACCCAGGAATGTCGCGGCCAGAGCATCCACCGGCACAGCCCAGAGCTTAGCTGAGATTTAAGATAAAAAAAATTGATTAGGTATTTCGGGGAGATATTCCAGAGCAGTTAAATATGCCCAACTCGTCGGTGCCTTTGAAAAATCTCACCCCTCTAAAAAATTAGAATCGATTTTGTATTTAAAAAGGAATCTATTTAATTTAAAAGTAAGATAACTTTGAAATTGTGACAGCTTGTATTAAGGCCCAAGTTTATGATAATCCATTAAAGTCACTGAAGTTAAAGAACCTTCTCCCCAACTCTGCTGTCAGGGCTCCTGTCAGGGCGACGGGGAGCGGGGGAAATCGGGGGGCGAGGGGCTGCGCTTCCCCCTTTGCAGGGCACAGCAGCCGGGCGGGAAAAAAACGAGGCGGCAGAAAAAGCTCCTTCAGCTCCTCCACACTCAGGCAAAAGAAAAAAAACAACAGAGGACATGAGAAACCAGCCGGGGACAACAGGTTGACCATGAGCCAGCAACGTGCCCTGGCTGTCAAGGAGGCCAATGGGATCCTGGGGCCCATTGAGAGGAGGGTGGCCAGCAGGGCGAGGGAGGTTCTCCTCCCCCTCTACTCTGCCCTAGTGAGGCCCCATCTGCAGTATTGTGTCCAGTGCTGGGCTCCCCAGTTCAAGAATGATGAGGAGCTACTGGGAAGAGTCCAGCGGAGGGCTATGAGGATGAGGAGGGGACTGGAGCATCTCTCCTACGAGGAAAGGCTGAGGGAGCTGGGCTTGTTCAGCCTGGAGAAGAGAAGGCTGAGAGGGGACCTTAGAAATGCCTCTAAATATCTGCAGGGTGGGGGTCAGGAGGACGGGGCCAGACTCTTTCCAGTAGTGCCCAGCAACAGGACAAGGGGCAATGGGCACAAATTGAAGCAGAGGAAGTTCTGTCTGAACATGAGGAAGAACTTCTTCCCTCTGAGGGTGACGGAGCCCTGGCACAGGCTGCCCAGGGAGGTTGTGGAGTCTCCTTCTCTGGAGATATTGAAGACCTGCCTGGACGCAGTGCTGTGCAGCCTGCTCTGGGTGACCCTGCTTCAGCAGGGGGTCGGACTGGGTGACCCACAGAGGTCCCTGCCAACCCCGAACATTCTGTGATTTCAAGATCTTGCATTATCTGGCAGCCAGCAAGCAGGGCTTTGACCCATCCACCCCGCTTTCTCCTTCCTCAAGTCCACTTTACACTCAAAACAGCATTTCAAGACTCTGCTTTCCAAACACCTCGTGCATTACTCGGGTGACAGAGCCAAAGACGCTGTCTTTCGCGCCGTTTTTTTTAATTGCATCGCAAATCTCCGCCGAGCCCACGCGGCCGTGGGAAGCCAGGCTGCTAACAAACACCCCGCTCGCCGGCTTATAACCTGCAAAGGATGGGGCCTGGGAAAATTAGCAGCCCGCAGGAGTGCGAATCCCGTTAACGACGTACCAAATGCGGCTGGACACCACCGAGCCAAGCGACTAGGGAGGAGCGGGTGCGAAGGGCAGCGGAAAGGGGATGCTGAGCTGCAAATTAGCATTTCTGAACGGCCACCGACCGGCGAGACCCAGCCTCCCTTCAGGAAAAACCAGAACCAACACCACGAACACGAGACGGGATGGAAAGCGACCACGTCCAGCGGAGGTTTTACTTGATTTAAAGTAAATCACCCCGGATTTTAAACGCGGGGAGCCAGCTGCACACCAGCGAGCGGCCCCATCCCTGCTCCCACGCCCTCACCAGAAAATTCAGGGGGTGGGAAAGCAGCGAAACGGGGGGGTCGGTGTTGGAGTCACTTTGAGGACACGCACAGAAAAACCTGTGGGTTTTTACGGGTGCAAGCACGAAAGGCGACGGACGCGGGGACCGCGTGTGCCGAGCTGCTCCTGCGCAAACGCAAGGCCGGCCGGCACAATTAAAACCCACTCCATTCATTAGCGAAGGAAGCCACGAGGCAGCTGAAAGCCCTGCTCTCGCCATAAACCAGGGGTAGCGATCCCAAAAAGCCACCCCTCGACTTTCGGGGGAGCGTAGGGGCGGCCACGGGGTCCCCAGGTTTGGGAGGGCTGAGCCCCCGCGGCTCGCCGCTACCCACAGCGGGGAGCAGCCAACGCGTGATGGGGATGGATGGCAGTCCCCACCCCCCCCCGCAGCCCCGGGCAGACACCCCCCGGGTCCCCATCACCCACCGCCATGGCTCGGGGTCCATCGACCACCCACCAGCAGCGAGGGGACACCCGCAACCTCCGCGCTGGTCATTAAGTTGATTGTGTCAGTGGAGCATCTCACCAGGGGTGAGGGGTGACAGCCATTTTTGGGGTGCCCAGTTCAACACCCCCTCCCCACGGGCACCCTATTTTTAGCAAGCCATGTATGTGGCTCTCCGAAGACCCCAGCACATCTCCAGCTGGGGGAAAAGCCTTGACCCATGGGTGGGATGACCAGCTCGGACAGGCTGGAAAGTTGGGCAGAGAGGAACCTGATGAGGTTCAACAAGGGCCAGTGCAGGGTCCTGCACCTGGGAAGGAACAACCCCATGCATCAGTACAGGCTTGGGGCGGACCTGCTGGAGAGCAGCTCTGCGGAGAGGGACCTGGGTGTGCTGGTGGACGACAGGTTGACCATGAGCCAGCAGCATGCCCTTGCAGGGGAATTCCACTTCTGCACGGAGCGATCCAACAGAGCCCAACAGCAGCAAAGCCTGGAGCAGGAGACAACCTATCGATAGGAACAAACCACTGGCAGTGAATCTCAGCACTCCAAAGAGCTTTCCTCAGAGCGGCAGATTTAGCTGATGTTTCCTTTCGTGGCGAGTACCCACAGAAAGCAACTGTTTCGGGAGAAGAGCACATTTCTCACAAACTTGTCACCAATTCCTGATTTCCTACTGATGTTAATCCTGAATGCGTAGAAACTCATGGAGCGGACGAACATAGTGCTGCCAAACCTGGTCCAGAGACGAGAGGAGAAATTCTGGCACTGAGCACACCAAACTGTCCCTTGTCTGCCAAGGGTCAGAATTTTAATCCAAATTTTCCTGGGTTCTGTGGATTTTTCAGATTCAAATCTGTGCTCAGCAAAGGATGGAGCACTTCTTGATAATCTGACATCAAATTAAGAGAAAACATAACAGAGGAACAAGGTCCTCTACAGCCTACTGTAGGTGACCCTGCTTCGGCAGGAGGGTTGGACTGAGTGACCCACAGAGGTCCCTTCCAACTCCAAAGAATCACAGAATGGTAGGGGTTGGAAGGGAATCACGCCTGTGTGTCATTCTGTGTGAAACCACGCATGCCAGTCTCCACGAACACCAGCCAAGCTTGAAAGCGTTTCAGTTATTTCGGGGGGTTTTGAGGGGGACAGCCAGCGCCGGAGGGGGATGACACCCG